ATACTTTTTACGTTTCGTGTCAAGTACTACCCAAACGCAGAAACTTCTAATCAAGGTAATATTCTAAAATGTAAACTTAATTGGTTTGTTTATACCTTAGTAGTATTTATAAAGAACTCTGATGGTGTACTGATTTAGGGTCAATTTTGGTGGTTTTATTCCGTTAACTTCATGATATTGAGACATGTCTATAGTTCCTTACATATAGTTTTCCTATAATCCTATGACTTTAGAATATCATGATGCATGTAGACAAAGTTCACTTTGAAAGATACTTCTTCTACCGATTTGGCATGATATTTACTTCAAGAAATTCTTTCATGAACTTGGTCCATATGTACTTCATGATTATGGATCAAAGTGAATATGCAGTGATGTCCATGCGAGAATTTCCCTTCTCATGTCTTATACTTTTGACTGGGTTTTAGATGTGGCGGTATTTGTCGACAGGAGGCATCTACCTATGGGGGAGAATTGAGAATTTTTTGCTTTACTTGGTATCACAAAGTGTTTATATGAAGTTATAAGTCCAGCAGGGCCACACAAACCCAACTCATTCATTCTACAAACATGGTATAACTTAAAACAATATGTCAAGAATCCGTTTATAGAAAATGGTGTTGTATTAAAGGGTATTTTAGTATTTCTAATTGTTTTGATAATTTAGTCATTAAGTCTATTCTATTAGGGCCTATGTGGAATTTATTTTTCTTTGTGTATAAATAGACCAGTTGTAAATGTCATAAACAACAATATTTATTTCTCTTGCAGCTTTTACAGCCAACATTCTCTTTACTTTCTTAAATTCATTCTTTGTTCATCATTGATTCTTGTGCACTAACAAAACACGAGCGAAATGTGAGCGTTTGCGTGATTGATTTTGGTTCTGGTTCGTATTGATTCTTTGAACAAAATTGTAACAAAATCACATTTTTTTTATTTTGTGGGGTTCAGAAACACTGTGCTTGTAAAATTTGAGAGAGTTGTACAAGGTTAAAGATGAACGCAAACGGTAGTTTGAGTACCAAACTTGCTGTTTTTGATGGCAAGAGATGGAACAAATGGATGATTCCGATGCGTGTGTTGTTCGGTGCTCAAGATGTTCTTGAGCTTGTTACAGAAGTTTATGTTCAAGTTGCAAAAAACGCAATGAAAGAGCAGAGAATCGCAGAGAGACGAGATGAAGAAAGATCAAAAAGGCGTTGTTCTTCATCCATCAGTGTGTGGATGGGAATGTGTTTGAGAAAATTACAGATTCGACGATGTCAAAGGACGCGTGGGATATACTGGTCAGATGTTACGGTGGTGACGCAACAGTGAAGAAGGTGAAGCTTCAGTCCTTACAAAAGCAATATGAGAAACTCAACATGAAGAACAATGAGAAGGTTTCTGAGTACATCTCTAGAGTGATTCTGATCACTAATGAGATGAAAACTTGTGGAGAAACCCTCTTTGAACAAGTAATCATTGAGAAGATATTGAAGTTACTTATTCCTTAATTTGATTACATTGTTGTAGCAATTGAATATTCTAAAGATCTAGAAACCATAAGAATAGAAGAGTTGCAAAGCATTTTAGAGGCGTATGAGTTGCGTCTGACTGAAAGAACTTCTGAGAGGGAAGTTAAGCAGACTCTGAAGGCTTCTTTTGTCAAGAAGGATGAGAAGCATTCTTGGTCAGAAACTAAGAATAGACGTGGTGATAGATTCCAGAAGTCAAAAACTTCCACTTCTGATGAGAAGAAACCTTAGAAGGGTAAGAAGAAGTTTGGCAAGAAGAAGGTTCAATGTTATTGTTGTAAGAAGTTTGGCCATTTTGCTAAATATTATTGGTCAAATAAGGGAAAGAGATCAGAAGAAGCAAATATAGCTAGAGGAAATTCTGATGATGAACCTGTGCTATTGATGGCTTCTGAGTCTGATGGAAAGTGTTTGGCAGACTGGTGGTATATGGACACTTGCTATTCAAATCACTTGACTAGAAACAAAAAATGGCTAATAGATTTTGACTCTAGAAGGAGGAAAAAAATCAGATGTGCTCATGATAAATACCTTAATACCGAAGGTATGAGAAATGTCAAAGTTAAAGTGAAGAATGGGAAGACCGTTCTGATCAAGGATGTTTGGCATGTTCCTGGAATTAAGAGCAATCTGATTAGTGTAGGTCAACTTATTGAGAAAGGTTTCTTAGTTATTATAAAGGACAATCTCTTGAAGTTGCATGATTCCAATCAGAAGCTTATTGTGCAATCTAAGCAGGGAAGCAACGGAATATTCAAGGTGAATGTGGAGACATCAGAAGCAGAATGTCTTAGTTCAGAAGTTGCTGAAGCTGATACTAAGTGATAAGTGCAAAGTGTAGTTATTTTGTATATACTTTTGTTGCACTTATCAACTCTTTGTTGTTAATATCAGTTGAATAACTCCGTTTTTTATTGCAAATACATTTAATTTCATTTTGTGTACATATTGTATCGGTTGATTAGTTTGTATATATTTTATAGGTATTTGATCATGGTTGGAGAAATGAGGAATAAAAGCTCCAAGATGTATTTTTGGATTAATAAAGGAATAAGGAAAAAGATTAGAGCCACTGGAAGTTATGCAGGAAAATAACAGAAGTTGCTGGACTGTCATGGATCGTCGGGAGAAATTCCTGTCGTCGGGAGATAGTGGGCGAGAAAAGTCAATTTTGATGATGTCTCTGCCTTGCTTCGTGTCTAGGTCGCCAGAAGAAAATAAAGAGAGTCGTCAGGCGATGTTAGATAATTGTTTCATTTGAGGATGTGGCGCAGTCTAGGCCAAGTATATAGAAACCATCACCAGTCGACGCTTTTATGTTGCCAGGAAATGCGTGCGGATCAGAATTTTGCTATATTTGCCTTTTCATTTCATTTGGAAGGAGATGGTTTTGGGGGTGAGTTTTTGTTCTCCCAACTCCATCAACCTCATTTTTGTAGTTGATTGACTTAGATAACAACACTAAGGCTTTGCTTATGGATGATTGGAGGTGGATTTCTCATTGACCGGCTCTGACAAACCGGAAGATTTATGGTTTATCTCTTCTCCTCTCTATTTATTTCTCTTGTGTTGGGTTTGTATATGCATTTACTTTGAACTCATGTATATTTTCTCCCATGGCGTTATATAAAACTTACTTTATTAATATATGTCGATTATTGTCTTAGATTTTTGTTCTGTGCTAGAGATTTGAGTTGTTATAGACATATACTGCTTAGATTCTTATCTAGGATGATTATTTGTTAGTTTCTAAACTCTAGAGATAGATTTAGAGCTGGCATCTACTTGGGTATCAGAGCTTAATGCCTCTGTATGGTTGTGTTTTGCTGAGAGATCATCAGTGCGATTACATAGTTGTCTTCTGTGTTGTTGAGGAGGTATAGAGGTTATTTCCTTGGTGATACAGTCGATATCTCAATGTGGGTTAGAAATAACTTATGTTGTGAGTGATATGTAGTGACATTTATGAGTATTGTTAGGTTGAGTGTAACTGGTCGATAGATTTAAGTTTATGAGGAGTAGATTATATTCAGGTGTTGTACCCCATAATTTTCCCTCCCATTTCATCAACATTTCTCATCACAAGACTCTTGGAACTCAAGATTAAGCTAGGGTTTGCTCTGTTCAAGACACCTCCTTGCACTGTTGACCTAAACTAGGGTTTGAGTTTGCACAGGGATGTTTTGACCTACAATTACCAAGATGACTTTCATGCTTCATGTTGGACTCACAAGCTTGCCCATACCAAGTTTCAAGCCTTGAATCAAATTTTTGCCCAGTCAATTGGACAGTTGACCTAGAAATCAGTTGTATTGGGGAAAAAGTCAACTGTGGCCAATTGACAGTCAAACCTCATGAATTTTGACCCACATCAACATTATGAACTCATATGAACCATTTGATCAAGTTTGGATCACAATTCCACAAGAAATTTGATCAGATCACCAAAAGGGCAAAATGGTCATTTTTAGGGTTTTGAGTGTACAAAGGTAATTTTTGACTGTTTGACCTAACCAATGGCAAATTAAGCTCAACCATGGACACAAGGACTCACACTACAACATTTAGGCTCTCCAGCAACAATTGAAAAACATTGCTAGAACTCTGAAAATCGTTGCCTAAAACAATAGGGGACGTTTTCTGGGCGTCTCCTGTGCGAGCGTTGCCTATTGTTTGAGGCAACGTTTTTTTATGTATTTTGGGAACGCTTTTGAAAAACGTCGCCTATAGTAAAGGAATAGGGGACGATTATTTACGGCCTCTGAGACAACGTTTTTAAGCGTTGCGTTGCCAAATTCGGCTACAATTAACAATCGTTGCCTTAAACCTGACTCAGGAAGATCGTTTTTGAAGTGTAGCCATAGCTTATAGGTTGTTGTTTTATAGTGTCCACATAAAATATACAATTTTGCAATTATTATCAAAATAATATAGTCAATAATAATTGGCTTCAAAAATAATATTGATTATATAACTTAAACCATACATCCATAAAAGTTATAATATAATAAAATCGAGTACAAACTTTAATTCAAGATATAGTATATAGAGTACACAAAATGCCTAATGTAACAATATTACTTTTAATACTTTGAAGTATGACCCTAGTAAAATAAATAAAAACATAGTTCAACAAAAGAACAAAAATTATATTTCAAGTTTAATGCTTTCAACTACAAGCCAAAAAAAAGACATCATCCAACTCATTCAAGTTTGTCTTCTAGGAGTAAAGCATCCAGATCGTCCTCTTGAAATTCGTTAGATATGTCATCCTCCATAAATTCTTCATCTACGTCGTCCTCTTGAAATTCACCATCTATATCCTCCTCTTGAAATTCATCATCTAGATCTATGTCGTCCTCTTGAAATTCGTCATCTACGTCGTCCTCTTGAATTTTATCATTTAGGTCGTCCTCTTGAATTTTATCATTTATGTCGTCCTCTTGAATTTCATCATTTATATCATCCTTTTCAACATCTTCATTGATACATTGCTGCATAAGAAAATAAAATAAAACACATTAACCATAAGTATTTTTGGTCCAAAGGACAATTAAGACATCAACAAGAATTAAACCTCGCACAAATAAAAACTAAACCAATGAGCAAAACACATTGTTTATATTCTTCACATCTCATGGATGTGAATTAATTATGAAGGTTTTTAATGAATGTGAATTTTCGTTCTAAACTGTAATAGGTGACATGAGCTTACTAGCAAATAAATCAATTATGAAAACCATTCTGTTTTTGGCTCACTATTTAGGACTTACAATAGCCTTTAATTGTATGTATGTATGTATGTATAACTTGTGCTATCCTTTTATGTTTATTTTTTGGAGTAAATGAACTCTGATGAACACTCTTACTTGTTGTATCTTCTTTGGTGTTCAGTATCATATGGATAAATTTACAGCATACATAGTGAGTGTTATCAAACAAGGGGGTCCCATAATCTTATCCCAGGCAAGTATGTTTGTGAAATATCAATGAAAGCTCGCACAAATAAAACAGTTTCAGCCACTTCTAGGTGTTGTCACTACTTAAACAATTTCAACCACTTACTTTATTCTAGGTGTTGTCACTACTTGCAAATTTTTGCATACATTAACAACCATTTTGATACTATAACATAATTAGAAAAATATAAATCAATAATATTGGTATATATGGTTACCTTTCCATGACATGGAGCATGAGTTGATGTAGATGAATGCATTTGCGGTCTTATATCCTTTGGGGAACTATTAGCATCTCCATGAGATAATCCTAACAAATCTTCAATTGACTCTATATTAATTTGAGGATTGCATTGTTGTATTACGGTCTTAAAAGCATTTTGCAATCTATCAATCTTATCTTGAAACTCGTCCCTTAATGTAGAGACCTCTTCACTGTGGGCTTGTTTCAAAGCATTAATCTCTGCCTTTCTCTTTAAGGAAGTTTTAGTTATGTTTCTCCCATAACAGCGTACCCTGCCTGGACACTCCTTTCCAAAAAAAACTTTAAAAGCTTCTGTATCACTTTCCTCCTTTTCAACCATTTCTTGAAGTTGGGACTAGCATAAATTACAAAAAAAAAATTAGCTACTATTATAGACAATGTTGGCCGATTATATTAAGCAAACGTATTATATCAACAATGTTACATACAATTACTTTTCCAGTTTCTACATCCAGTTCCTTTCCTTTATTTCCTTTTCGAGTTTCAACAAACATTTCTGATTGAGTGGACTCTCTTTTTTCCTTTTCACGCTGCACAAATCAAAATAATTCCTTAACAAATTATGTGAATTAAAATTCCTATTCACGATTCAAAGAAAAGTTTTTCACGAATACTTTAATTGAACAAAGAAACATTCATACAAGGAATAATTTATTGAGAACAAAAGAAAGTTACCACTTTTTCACGAGTCAAAGCAAAGTTTTTGGGACCCATTCGATGCATCCACTTTAGTTGAGCTCTATTTCTAGTGTTATTTTCACTGATTGCCTACATTTAAATTTGACAGAATTATTATAATAAATATTACTTAATTATGGCATACATAGAAAGGTGTAAATTCACACACATACATAAAAAAATTATTAATCTTACTTGTATAGTTTCCTTACTCCAATAAGCACAAAGACTCTTAAACTGGGCTATTGGCACGTTTGGCGGACGATTTTTGAGTCTCTCGGTCATGTTGGAATACTTCAAAAAATGATCCTTCTTAATTTTGTGCTTATATCTTCTCCATGCCTCTCTAATAGTGGTCTCAATCCAATCTCGTGCTTCAACCGGCCAGATAAACGTCCGCTACATAAATTATAAGACAAGATCAAGAAATGAAACACTTTTTTTTAATAATTAGACTTTCAAATTCATAGATAAAAACATACATTAGTATATCTCCAGAAACGATTTTTATTATCATCTGGCATTCCTGACCAATTGGTGTAACGTAGAGGACAAAATGTTGAGTTCCTAGCCAATGTTCCCAAGAAGAGGCTCAAGTCAGATACTACTTTTTCACTAGGACCAATTGGCTGAAAATCCTCATTAAAGGTCACTTCTACTCGCTCTTCCAAAGTTCTTGCATGAATCTTTTTGCACAAAGTTTTCCCACGAGTTTTTCTTTGGGATGTTTCTATAAAGTAATAACACAACAACATGATATCACATGTTTGCTACCAATATGTAAATAATACATGAAATCATTATTATGAAATATGAAACTAATTACCTTTTTCTTCTTCTCTATTTGTGATTGCATCTTCTTCGTTGACTTTTGCCCGATTTTGAACACTTTCTTGTCGAGTTCCTTTTTTTGATTGATTTTGATTAGAGCTACGGTTAACGCAATTACAATTACAAACTTATTAAACAAAATTTGCAGACTAAGAGGTAAAACTTGACCTGTAATGCCACTAATATGCATATCAAAATAACTCAAGACAATTGTTTTGGATTGATAGTTGATTAGATCAACTCCACTACAAATATTTGCAATACTAACTCAGCATTAACTACACCTAGAAAGTGCAACACCAATTTACAGCACGCGCTCTAAAGAACATGGAAAAGAGCAGTAGTTTCTTGCAGCATGTGGACATTTATAACTAGTCTTTATTTCAAGCTGTGCAAATTTTTTAAGAAAGCTTGGGATATTGGTGTGAATGATCCAAGAAAATTTATCCATTGTTTGAAAGTAGGAATAACACTCACAGTTGTTTCACTTTTCTACTATTTAAAGCCTTTGTATGATGGAGTTGGAAGAAATGCTATGTGGGCCGTCATGACCGTAATCATGCATGCACTATACTGATTATTGAATATAATTATTGTGTGTGTATGTGCTTATTTCAGGTTGTGTGGCTCAGTACTTTGAAGCCCAAACTGCAACTGAAGAGTCTAACAAAAATATCATGGGTTATAAATGTGTGCTAAACTCAAAAGCAACAGAAGAATCATTGGTATATATAAATATGGAAGATATTATCTTATATATGTAAAACAATACCTTTAGCTAATAATTTTTTGAATGTGACTAAAATAAATCATTGATTAATCTCAGGCCAATTTAGCTAGATGGGAGCCTGCACATGGAAGATTCAATTTCTGTCATCCATGGAAACAATATCTTAAAATCGGAGCCACAATGCGTCGATGTGTTTCTTGCGTTGATGCTCTTATCGGATGTATACATTCAGAAAACAAGGTAATATATCAAGATTGTCATCAGCTGTCAGTTATTTTTACCGAACAGAGCCTATATAGTAAGAAAATATTCTTGAGGTACATTAATAAAATTGAATAGTTGAATTATTTTTTGCAGAGTTCAAATGACATAAGGAAGATTATGAGCAAAACCTCTATGCAAGTTGGTGACAACTCTGCAAATGTTTTGAGAGAGTTAGCACTAACAATAAGGAATATGACAAACTCTAACAAACTTGATATTTTGGTCATGGAGATGAACAGTGCAGCACAAGAGCTACAAAATTTATTAAAATCTTATCCCAACACACAAAATAATGATGATGCAAAAATGGAAATTCCAATAATGGATATTATTCAAGTGGTCACCATGGTTTCCTTGCTTACTGAAATTGTAGCACGTGTGGAAGACATTGTGAATTGTGTTGAAGAACTATCAAGTTTAGGTAAATATAAACCAGCAGTGTCCATGTGTGACAAATCCAAACAACACTCTACAGATAACAAGATTTCTCCAGAACAACAAAATGAAGATGAAGCAATAGTCAAAACACTTCAAATGGTATGAATGATGAAGAAGCAAAATAAGCAATATATCTATTTGTGTATACAATCTTTGATCCATGATATATTACATGTTACATGTATAAGAGATCAGTTATATGATATTATTATTATGTATACATAGATTCAACTAACAAAATAGACTTTTTTGAAACTATAACACTGGTACTTTCATAAAATGTGTTTGAACAACTTGTTCATGCATTAAAACCACTCTAAGACTATTTCAACAAACTTGTCCATGCCTGATGCGCATTCATCCCGACCTACTTCTGCAATACTTTTGTATTTTGATCTAAAACAATACTACCAAAATTTAGAAGCCAGCACATAACCCATCACCTCTCAAGCTACATGTCGTGCAACTAAATACTTCACCAGCTAAGAAAAATTATCATTGATCTATAAAATACTCAGAATATCTTCCTCAAATATAATCAAATAGAAACTCTCAATTTCTTGTGTTTCTCGCACCTTCAAATAACTCAAGACAATTGTTTTTGATTGATAGTTGATTAGATCAACTCCACTACAAATATTTGCAATACTAACTCAACATTAACTACACCTAGAAAGTGCAACACCAATTTACAGCACGCGCTCTAAAGAACCTCAAATGCTGCCGAAATCTAATCAGGATCTACAAAGTTTTCTCTACCTAATACCAAGAAACAGCAGCATCGATGACACCTCCAGGTATCAACCTTGAAATCTGATCGCAATAGCAAGCAAGACAATGAATAATCCCTACGTATCTATGCACCTCTGTAGCAGAACAAAAAATCCAGCACGAAACAATACTCAGAACGAATGGTTTAGACTACCAACAGGTACATCACAACTGCATTCTGCTTCATAACTTGTTCTCATTATCACTGCTGATTATATCCTCGATTTTATCGTGTTAACCACCATGCAAACCAAGGCATGCCCCAGAGTTCGAACACCAGAGATGATATATAGCATGTGCCTTTACTTTTAATACTGAACCACTTACAGGATGATATCTTCACTTCTTCAAACATATTATCCAAGCATAATTCGATATTATGAAGTATCTTTTCATTTTTTATGTCGAACATAATTTATTTAAATACACATGCTTAATGCAAATTTTAGCATCTCTTTCATATAATATGATAAGTATATTTCATTTTTGTGTAGTGAGTTCCAGTGTCTATCATGGACTGACATTGCTAGAGGCCATCACTAGTTGCCCACTAGTCAGCCCTTGGGAAGGACACACCTATAATTGTCTGAGTTCAATAAAATAAATCTGTACAATAATTGCAAAAGCTAAAAACCAAAGATTTACATCCAAGTTTAGATCCATTGCTCAAAAGAAAGTACTTACAGCTACCAAATCTACATCCACAGTTGGATGGCGAACGACGAACGGACGACGACGTGGACGACGAACACGGCGTGACAGTTGGACGGAGTGACGAAGAACACGGCGGAGGGTGTGAACGAAAGAGGTTTGACTCGGAGCGGATGAAGGACGGTGAGAGCGCGGCTAGGTCTGGCTAGGACGGAGCGAAATGTGTGAACGAAAGAGGTTTCTATTCTTTTTAATATTCCTTATCTGTTTCTTTTTTTTTTCTATTCTTTTTTGTTTTTCTTATCTATTTCTTTTTCTTTTTTTATTTTCTATTCTTTTTAATATTTTTTATCTGTTTCTTTTTCTTTTTTTTATTTTCTATTCTTTTTAATAAGACGTGACAATAATTGAGAGGACTAGTAATAAAAAATATTTTAAATTCCTGTGTTAGAAAATTTTTTATTTTCTGTGTAATGAATTTTTTTTAAATATATATATATATATATATAAGTTTTAGAGAAATATTAATAATGTGTTAGAAAAATTCCTGTTTAATTGAAATATATATAAGTTTTAGACTAATATATATATATATATATATATATATATATATATATATATATATATATATATATATATATATATATATATATATATATATATATATATATATATATATATATATATATATATATATATATATATATATATATATATATATATATATATATTTATATATATATATAATTTTTTATTTTCTGTTTAATTGAAATTTTTTATTTTTAAATTCCTGTGTTAGAAAAATATTTTTTTTATATATATTAATAATGTTTAGAGAAAAATATTTGTTTTTTAGTGTATAAGTTTTGGAGGGAAGATTGCCACCAAAAATTTGATAATTCTAAAAAAATTTATACAACATTTCAGAAATGTAGCCTTTTATTAGAATTAATGTAACAATCTAAAAATGTCCCCAAAAATATTTTAGGGGACAATTGTCAAATATTGCTAAAGAAATAATATTTTAACGCTCTAAAATCGTCCCCAAAAGCAGTTAAGGGCACAATTAACAATCGTTGGCAAAAAAATAAAAGAGTATCGCTCCATAAACGTCCCCAAAAGTATTTTAGGCGACGATTATCAAGGGTTGCAAACATATTTTTGACAACAATCGTAAATCGTTGCCTATATGAATTTAAGGCAACAATTTCTACATGTTACCTAAAAAAGTGTTGCCAGAGACAACAAATGTTGTAGTGTCAATGACATTGTCTTGACCCATTCAACAAGTTCAAAAGATCTCAAATGCATAGGATTGACAGATGAATTTTGCAGTCAACTGATCAAGATTTGACTGTACACTGAAAAGTCAAGCTTTGACTTTTTGGTCAAAATCAAGTGCCAAGATTCATTTTTCATCAAGACATATCAAATTATGAAACTTGTTCATCAAGAAACCCAAAATTGCAAATTAGGGTTTAAAATGGAAAAATTTCATAACTTAGAAATTTTCTAAGTTATAAAATTTTCTTATTTTTTTTCTAACTTTGCCCCACATTTTCACCAAGATGCAAATGGATTCAAACAAAACTTACAACATGAAACTTGTATTCCATCAAAAAGTATACAACTTTGATTCACAAAGTTTTCTCAAAAGAAGCTTGGATCTCAAGTTATTATTTTTGGAACAAGGGTACCTAAAACTTTTAACTTAGAGAAATTTTGCCCTAGTTTAGGCAGGATTTTGACCCATCTTCTTGGCCATTTTTCACATAGTTCAACTTTGATTTTCAAGCTTCATATCAAAGATGGATTATAGTACATATTGCAAGCTTTCCAAATTGTCCAAGAACTCCTCAAACACCTTTGTGGTTAGGGAGAATCGAATGCTTGAAGTTGGCAAAAACTCACTTTGTAACCATGGCCAATACATGTTCATACCATTTGCCAAATCTGACCAAGCTAGCATAGTTCACAATTACAGGCCTCTAAACTAATTTGTACTCAATAATTAAACGCAAATCCCTTGGTTTAAGGTTTTGTTTTGGACATTAGAGGATTATACACTAGATTAATCCTTAAATAGAAAAAGCAACATGGCCATTTTTGTTTGAATTGTGCTTTATATCAAAACAGCATCCTAGAGCCTTGAACCAGATCTTATGCTGCAAACCAAATCCACAAACTTGGGGCCAAGCTTACACAATGTGTGCAGAGTTAGAGCTAGCTTGTAAAGGCCTGCTCTTGGTCACTTCTCATTTTGCTTCATAACCAAGCAACTTGTCAAAAACAAGAGAGCACACATATCTGATAAAACTAACTCAAGCAAAGTTATCAAACAAGTTTCTCATACCCTAACAAGTCAGAAGCACGAGCCTTTCACCCCTAAAGCACCCTCATACTTCAAAACCCCATTTTCTTGCAAAACAGGGCCAGTTCTGCATTTTGCAAGCCACCATCAAATTCCCTCGTGCGTTTTGTCCAAAACTACTTCAAACACATTCCAATCAATATACCTAAGCTGTCCAGACCATTCACAAGTTGTTGTAACTCCATTAACACACATTTCCATTTTTGTTTGGAAGCTTTGCAGGTTGAGTTTTGTAGCACGATTCAGGCCACTTCAAAACAAACTAAGCATTGGGAAAGGTTCAGTAGACATCAGGCAAGCTCAAAAGAACCTCAAGCACCATTGAACGTTGTGCATTGTCCAGCTCGAACTCAACTGAAACAGGTATTTCATGAACTTCTATCTCTCTATTTAGGAATAGTTAGACTTAGGTTTGTGAATGAAAGATGTTGTATTCATAGCCCTGAAACCATACATGTGCTCAATTTTCATTTATATTAATCGTGCTAGGGGAATTTCATCCATGAACTTTCTTAAAAAACTAGGTTAGAAATTAGGGCCAGAGAAATTCTCTCTGGTCTTTGAGAGTTAGCTTAAGTTTTTTATATGGTTAGATTCGTTGTTTGATGCTCTACAAGTTTCATGTTTTGAGTTTTGTCAAAGGATCACAAATACAGGAGATACAGGTCTGTGTAGCTAGCGCGCGTTTTTTTCAAATTTCTGTGGACAAAGGAAGAAGATGAAGTAGCTGGGCTGGGCCTGGTTACTTCCTGCTTTTCACACCCCATTTTTCAGCTTCACACCCCCCTGGCCCATTTCTTGTATTTTTATTATTTTTACATTTGTATTTCATTTCAGACTTTTATATTTTATTTTCAAACATAAAAAATGATCCAAAAATATTTTCATAATTTTTTACATTTATTTGGTATTTATTTTTATTTTTACTAGCATAAAAACATTTTATATAATTTTATATTATTTTGTTTAAGTTTAAAAATATTGAAAATAATACTTTTATTCCATTTCTTATTTTTATTCACATTGAAAACATCTTCTTGTATATATTTTATTTTTGTAAATAATTTATTTTATTTTTTACATATTTAACATATTTAACATATTTAATATATATATATATATATATATATATATATATATATATATATATATATATATATATATATATATATATATATATATATATATATATATATATATATTATATATATATATATATATATATATATATATATATATATATATATATATATATATATATATATATATATATATATATATATATATATATATATATATATATATATACACA